GCCTACTATGCGTATGAGGGAGATAAATTAATATTCACATGGGAATCAATCTTTTTGAGAACCTGATAAATGCCAGGCACTGCCATGAACTTATTACCTCACTTAATCCTCCTAGTGACCCTATGAAGGTTTTATTGCCCCTCCTTTGCAGATGAGAACACTACGACTAGCTAGATGTGTTAGTAGGGTTGCACAGTTCAGTGGTAGCATCCCTATTAAAACCCAGGTTTGGCCCTGGCCAGTGTGAATCAGTAGGCTGAGCATTATCCCATGCATCTAGAGGTCACCAATTTGATTCCTGGTCAGGGCACATGCCTGGGTTGTGGGTTCAATCCCCAGTAGGGGGCTTGCAGGAGGCAGCCAATGGATGTTTCTCTCTCTGTGTCCTTCTTCCTTCATCTCTCTCTCAAATCAATTTTTAAAAACCATATTTAAAAAACAAACAAGCAAAAAACCCCAAAACAACAATAATAAAACAGGTTTGCCTAATTCCAAAGCTCATGCTCTTTCTACTTACTACACCAGGTAATCTCTGCAAAATGTATTTACACAAGATCTGGCTCCATCCTTTTCCAATAACATGGAATTTATGAAGTTGTTTATGGTTTTCTAAGTTAATGCTATTTGCCAATATGGCCAAATGGTGTGTATTTATTAATCGCAGGTAATCTCTGCAAAATGTATTTACACAGATCTGGCCCCATCCTTTTCCAATAACATGGAATTTATGTAGTTGTTTATGGTTTTCTAAGTTAATGCTATTCGCCAATATGGCCAAATGGTGTGTATTTATTAATCATAAACATGAGAGGTGCCCTCCAGCACAAAAATCTTCCAACACATCTGTTATAGACTGGTGGCCCCCATGGCCCTGGTATCTGGTCTCCTTATAGTCACACTTTTTGCAATGTGACTTTGCAGTGCTTCCCATGAAGAAGTAGAATATATTTCCCAGCCTTTAAATTGGGGCTGCTCTTGAGACTTGCATAGCCAAGAGTACTATATGGTGGAATGATAGAGTTCTGGGCCTACGCTTCAGAGGCCTTGTGGTATCTGCTGTCACTTGGATCCCTGGACAAGGCAGCTGAAGGATGTGAGGGACAAACAAAGAGACTGCAGTCACCCAGCCATCCCAGATGAAGCCATCGTAGACCAGTGTGTTAACCACAGACACCTGTGTGAGTGTTGTCATGCTCGACTAAGCCCCGTCCCAGATCAGTAGAAGCACCTAGTCAATGGGTGGACTCATAAAAAATCATAAATGTATGCTGGATTTTGGAGTGGTTTTTAAAGTATCAGTAGTTAACTAATAAAACCAAAAAAGTAATTTTCTCTTTAATTAGAGTTGAATGAATCCAGGGCATTTATTGCTTCATTTGTTCAGCACTTCAGTTTGGATTGATTGTTCCCTAGAGCTGCTGTACAGCTGACATCTCGGGATCCCCCTTTATCATCATTTAAGGAATTCCCTTCCTTTACTTTGTTTTCTGAAGCTCACGCCTTCCCCTTTCTTGGCAACTCCCTTGTTTTGCTGGAGTACATCCCTTGGGAGTTGCCTGAGAATGGGTGAGTAGGTTTGACGACAGTGCCTATTTAAAATGTCTTTATTCTACCCTTTCACTTAATGTGTGGTTCAGCTAAATTAGAGTTCTAGCTTGGAAACATTTCCCTCAGGATTTTGAAGGCACTGTTTCATGGTCTTCAATATGGCTATTGGGAAAGTCTGATTCTATTTTGATTCTTGATCTTCTTTGCTTTCAATTTTTTCTCTCTCTAGAGCTTATAGAATAATTTCTTTTGCCTCCATTGTTATGACTTCTTAAAATGATGTGCTTTGTTGTGGCTCTGTTTTCATCTATTGCACTGAGCTAGATATTCATATTCTTCAATTTTGGGAAATGGTTTTGATTTTATTTCTTGGATGATTTCTTTCTCTTTTTCTCTCTTTCTGCAACTCCTATTATTTGCATGTT